CGCCTGACTGTTCCACCAAAGTGAGTGCGACGGACTACCTGTGCTACCATTGCTTCATGCACATCACTAAGGAGATCTCGATGCGAAGCTCAGAGAAGTGCCCTGACATATTTGTGCCAGCTGAAGAAGCAATTGAAGATCTAAATCGCAGCATACTACCTACAGATGTGTCGCCGCTGAGACAACCAAGCGTCGTAAGAAGTCGGGACAGGCCTGCCTATGTCAAGAGAAAGCAGACAGAACTGGAGCAGGTTGCTGTCAAGAATATACGCTCAAGGCTACGTATTGCGTACGACAGGGACGCACCATCGGGGTCGTCCGAACCAACATGCTCCACATGCACTGAGTGGGTGGACAACTTTCGGCAGGCCTTTGAAACCGCCACCTCTCTCCGGGAACGTTGTCAACTGCTTACACTCCTGCCGTCAACACTGACGAAGAATGAGGTTCAAAAGATGATTCCACAGGCCTCAATGTACCTCATCAGTAAATCCCGAAAACTCAAGGAAAAGCATGGCGTGTGGTATGAGCCGGATCCTTACACGAGGTGCAAGGTGAGCCCTGAGAACCTGTCTGCTGCCTTAGAGTACTTCACGAAAGATGAGCTACAATGTTCGCGCCAAAGTCCCAACCAGAAGGACGTCATCTCTGTCATGCTCAACTGAGAGAAAACGTTCGTGCCAAAGCGCTTCATGACACGCTCAATACGAGAGGCCTTCCGTATATACAAAGACAAGCATCCCGATTCCGGCGTTGGGCTAACGAAATTTTATTCGTTGCGCCCTAGATGGGTCCAATGTATTCCACACCAGGAAGTGTGCGTTTGTGTGCGCTGCGCCAATTATTATCTTTGTATTGCCGCTCTAGAGAACGTTACAGGCTCAACATTCAACACTGGTGAAATGAACTCGGCATTTCTGTGCGACCCAGCAACAGAACTGTGCCTTCAAGGAGACTGTGATCACTGCCCAAAAGGCCAGTTTCTTACACTCCAGGAACTTGATATCCCGGAGGATGAAGAGATTGTGCTTGCAACATGGGAGTCCGGCGACCTTGTGAAAAAGCTTTGGAACCTGAGACTTTCCTAAAAGTCATCCAAGTGACGGTTGGAAGTTGGGTACTTCACAACCATATCCGGCAAACGCAAGGTAAAGCGATCTACGATGAAAAACAGTGCATGCAACGCGGGAGCATTGTCTTTCATTTTTACTTTGCTGAAAACTGGACCATCGTGCTTCCTGACGAAGTGCAAGCATATCACTGGAAAAAAAAAAAACAAGTTTCGATATTTACATGTCTAGTGACGACAAGAAAATCTACAAACAGCTTTGCCATCATCAGTGAGGACCTGTGTCACGACGCCGCTCACGCTTGCTTGGCTCTAGAAAAAGTGAAGGAGTGGGTTGAAGACAACGTTGCGGTATACTCGTACGTGACGTACGTAAGTGACGGCGCCGCCAGTCATTTCAAGAATCGCTACCAGCTTCACCAATTTGCAAAGGACGATTGCCCACAAGCCCAGTGGTTATATTCTGCATCTGGACATGGGAAAAATGCATTTGACGGAGTTGGCGGACTCGTGAAGCACCAGGCCACGCTGAACAACCTGAGAGAACGTTCAGTAAGCGCAATTCAGACGGCCAGGACAATGGTGAGCGTTCTATCAAAGAAACTGAAAGGCGTGCATCTTGTATATCTGGACGAAAATGAGGTTGTTCGGTATCGTGAACAAAAAAAAGAAGAGTGGCTGACGGTGTGCGCCTTCCCTGGCATTCAGTCTTGGCACGCGTGGCGGCTCAGCAAGTCATCAACAGAAGGGACCTGTGACGTATATGTAGCACGGACAGTCGGATCTGCTTGGAAGCAACTTTATTAAATGGGTACAGCGAGGAAAACCTTAGCGTAAAGTGCCGAATTTGATTTCCCAAGGACTGCTCATTTTGAATGCAGGGACATCTTATTTATCACACTTTTCTTCACGGGGTATTTAACCTACTGTTTTTGTTGGTGGTTACTAATAATTTTTATCTGATCACTATGAAAAAAATCCCAAAATGTTATCCTCGAGCAGGATAAAATATATCGTCTTGCCACGATTCATTCATACACCGAGAGCATCGAAGCTGCTCCAGTTAGGCACTATGGCATCCGTCACTTGAAATTGTTTGTAATCGTAAATACACAGCCAACCTAAATATCTTACTATTATATCTTTGTTTTTGTGTGTGGAAGTAAAGTTATTTATTTTACTCTAGATGTAAAATATACCGGAAGGTACAACTTCACACTGCATCATCTTTTTCTCAAATCATTAGTCTAATATGATACCACTTTGTACGCTTATGTAAAATGCTGTATATAGTTTCTCTTCCCTTTTACTGTGTGACCGATCGCTCTTTTTATCAATGACCTCATCTGAATAAATGTATATAAAAGATTTGTGCAAGTTTCATGAAACTGGAACTCAGAGTCACTTCTTGTATAGGACACTGCTAAGTGTAGGCTTTGAAAAAGGACCCTACTTTGGGGAGTTGTTTCTTCTTTCACAGTGCAATGATGCAACATGTTTTTAATATAAATGAATGCCGAAATAGAGTATAACAGGGTACCCAAATTTAAAAAAAAAATCGAAGGTGGTGGTTTTTTTTTTATTCGCATTGGAATTTTTCTTTGTTTGATTTTTTTCCCATGTTTGCCTAAATATATTGTAACTATTGTGTCACTCAGATACCTTATTTATTTTTTTCAATAATAGCCATATATTAGTAAAATAATGTCTGCAAGTTATGTAATAATGATTAAATTATTTCATGAGATACAGATTTCCAAAGCTTGCCATTTGTCGTTCGAGCAGGCATGTTTGGCAATTTTTAGAAAACTAAATAAATTTTTAATAAATACTATTACTTTATATTACAAGCAAGTTGTAACCATAGTTTGTTTGTAAAATGTTTTAAAATTCTCCTAATTTTATTGTTTTAATTATTCACTTTCAAACTTGCCCCCCCATCAGTGCGCGCTAATGCAACTGTCCACCTCTCCCTGCCTTACGATTTTTCTTGTCTCCAAATTTTTTTTCTGGTCAAAACTAAGTGTGGATTCGTTTATACCAGACACTAGACAATGTCATATAAAAATATCAGTTGATTTAAAAATGTCGACCAGCCACCCTTTGGTCGATCTTATCTGAAATCACCCAACAGCCCCCAGAAGGCGAATATTACAATCGCCTAGAGTGATATCTTTTGTTAACCATTGACTCTTAGCTACGTAGTTGACAAATCCAATATCAGGATAAAAACACAACAAAAATCAAGAGCCATTCCACTCTGTGAAAGTGAATAACCAGCGAAACTCTTTAGCACACGACACAGACCCACACCAAGGAGCCGGAGGAAACTAGACACGCGCGACAGGACCGCAACCCAGCGGAAAGTAGACACGCGTGACGGGACCCCCACCCCGGGAGAGCGGAAGGAAAGGAATCTAGGCACGCTAGCGGGCTTTGAACGACGACATAGAGAGGGCGGTGCGAGCGTATACTTGGCCGATGCGGGTCGCACAGCGGCAAATCTTTGAGAAACCTTTATTATCTAGCTGAGAGTCTACTGATCTTGAAAAAGATGCCTACTGATAACTAATCTACTGAATAGACCTATTACTAAATTACCCAAGCATCAAGGAGAATGCAGGGAATGGTGTTCCACGCGCAGCACGTGCTGGCGTCTGCAGCAGTAACTGTTCTAAAGCGAAAGCCTAAAACAAATGGCATCTTGCACGCGCGTTCGTCAACGCTTTGTTTTGGTTATTTACTTCGAATATTTCATACGGGGAAGGCGTGCGCGAGCGGCGCGTGCGGCGGTGCGAGCGTAGAGTTTTTCGTCACGCACACGAAAAACCCACGGAACCCTAGCCGTAAATAGCTTCGCTGTAAAAATCAAGCCATTCTAATCTGTAACAACAACAAGGCATTACAACCTGTAACAAGCAGAACAATATAGAAAGGGCAAACCAAAAGAGTGAAAGACAGCCGCGATTTAAACGTGAGCTCCTCCCAGTGATGCAGGCGAGAGCGAGACGATGTTTTCCAGGATCCCGGAAGTTCCGCGATTCAAGATGGCGGTGCCCGCGTAGAAAATATTTCTAGTAGGCGGTGCCGAAGAGCGCAGAAAGCAGGAGCCGCTGAATACGAGAGTCTCTAAAAAAAAAATTCTCGAACAAAAAAAAAAATAGACAACGACACCAAAGACGTCAGACCACTGCGGTGGCGCTGCTGTCGGCACTGCTCATGCGCCAACGCTTTCCCCTACGCGAATCTAGAGTTTTTGTACAGCGTTTTGGCGTGTAATGACTAAGTGAACGGGAGTTTTTTTTTTTTCGCAAGGCGTACTTACGACCCCATGCCTGTGTTGGCGTAATACGGTGCATAAAGGCTGACTTCAGCCGGTACCACCCTTAGGTACTGTCTCGTCTTAAAAGGGCGTCTGTTTTACGGAGTAATTGCAAAACCGTGCCAACGAAAAAGTGCAAATTAATTTATTAATTTTTTTTTTTTTAGTTTGATGTTACTCAAATTTGCAACAAAAGCCGACGCGCGACTATGTAGTTCTAGAATAAGAAAACGAAACGAGAATTAAGTACAACAAAAAAGCGCCATAACGAAATAACAAATATAAAACGACGCGGTGAAAAAAATCGGGCAGAAAGGTCAGGCAAGACGCGAGCGTCACTATGCGTCAGTTTCTCCAGCAGCTTTTTTGAAATGTTTTCCGAAAGGACACACACTATCCATGGCTGCAAAATGATCACTTCAATTGTATATTGTCCGGCTGATTTTTCTTCTTCTCGTAATAGAAACGTGCAGAAAGGTCGCAAATAGAAATCCGGAAATTGGAGGTGTGGCGTGGCGGCAATAGAGGCCACAAGATAAGGTCGCACCGACCTTAGATCTTCGGATCCGTTGCTCGAAGGAGTGGTCGGATCGTGCTCGACCCTTCAACATGGCGAGACTTTTGCCGCTTCTTTTCGTCCACATCGCACTCTGCGGTGAGTACACGGCCTGCAATCTGAACGTGTTTCCTGGATTGCAACTGCGCATTGTAGGACCGATTACTTGTATCAGCCGGAGGCACCCGTTAGAATATTTTTCTTATCCATACGTGCAATGAGGAAAACACTGAAATCCCCCCTTATTATTTTTTAAAGATCCAGGGTAGAACACTGCTGTAATACAACAAATATTTCCCGAAAAAAAGATTAAGCGCAATTTTCAGGTCGTGGAATTCAGTTTGGGCATAGCTATGGTTTGGGCCTTCATTTCGGAACAACGCGCCAAAATAGAAGCACGGTTCGGAATCCTTACTAACTTAACCCGAGTCTTATTACGTAAATATTGGGCTAAATATACTTGAACGTCTTGTTTTGCATATGTATCCTATCTAAACACACTTAACAAACTATGTATTTTTATTGTTCAACTTGTCTTTAAGGAGTTCGCTAAGACAGAGACCCAATTTCATTGGCAGTTCCCTCAAACCATATAATAAGTGGCATCCCCTAAATCGGGAGTCTCCAAATCCTGGTCCGCGGAGGCCTTCCGTTCGTTCCACGACCCGCTTCCAGCAGACACGCTGCTGGAAGCGGACCACGACGCGCATCAAGCGCAGGCTTTATCTCTTCCTATTACCCGTGAGTTTTAGAATAACGTACGCAATTTTAGCGCACGCTAGCGCTAGACCTGGCACTTGCGTTAGCGCACGCTACGCAAGAGAGTTTTAGAATAGCGAAACATTTTTGATCTGTAATACTTTTTAGAATAGAGAGATATTTTTGTTACCCTATTCTAATAGAGTTTTCGAATTAGAGTAACATGTTTGATTTGTTGAGATATGAGAGCGACAGGAGCGGTCGACCGGTCGTGTCGGCTTTTGCCGCCTCGGCAAGAGAGGTATCCTGTACTGACCTTTGCACACCGTACCCTCGCCGAGAAATCTTCGGGCGTCGCAAGCAGCAAGTTGCTCGTGATCATTGCCCACCTTTCTGGGTCTTCTAAACCGAGAGCAATGTCGTCCCGTGTTGAAAATTGTAGTCGCGAGGATGCCGCCGACGTCACGCTCACGACGCTGCCAAAGCGTCCGCCGACGCGGTCCTGGGGGCCACCATTTTTTTAACTGCGCTCGTCTTGGCTCTAGCCAACTTCTAAATACGAATCCTCCTTAGAGGAGCGCGAAGACCCCTTGCGTACGCACGCAATTTCCAAAAAAAAGCATAAGCTAAAATAGCGCACGCAAAGCGCAAAACGCGGTTAAGGCTAGCCCACATGGTGCGCTTTTCTCCGCGTCTGCGTCGCGTCTGCGTCGCGTCTGTGCCTGCGCTTTGACATCACTTCCGGCGCCGGGACGAAACGCAGCGTGTTTTGGTGCATTCCGACGTATCTGGAGGAGCCAGATATTTTGCGTCCAGGCGTCGCGTCTCGCGCTGCGTCCAGAAGGCAAACAACCAATGAACGGCCGTTTTCACTAGTCGCAAGGAGCGTTTGCATTTTCTCCACTGTTTTCGCCACTGTAGGACTAGTTTTCGCCACGGACCTTCCGACAAAGGCGATAATAATAATAATAATAATAATAATTTTTATTTGCACAGATTGCGATACCCACTCGGCAGCGTGCGAGGCTAGGCGGAAAGGATGAGACCCTTACTCAGGTGCGCCTGCTAGCCCGCCGCCGAGTAGGGAAGGGGTACGGGAGAGGAAAATAAATACAAACACTCAAAACAGAAAGACCACACGAACACATACAAAAACGGGTAACAGCCCTGTTCCATTCCAAGGCAGAGCGCACGCGCGCACGCACACACGCACACCCGCGCGCGCGGAGTTCACAAAATTTGCCCCGCCAACTCTCGCAGTAGGGCGAACATGGGTAGTTACGCCCTTCCCCCGCGGATATCAGTTTACCATACCTTTTAAACAAGTCCAGGGAGTCCTCCCTGCTCCTCGGGATAGGCTACACTCTTTCAGCGGAACAGAGAAGACCTAGCAAAGTACAAAAGCGTCCTGCACTCTGGCAGGCGAAATGTAAAGATTAGAAGGACACCGAGAGACAAAGGTACAACATTAATACTACCGGCAACAACCGCAACAACGCAACCTCTGCACCGGCCAGCGGCCAGCTGTGAATGTTTTGGCGCGGGCGACGGTGATGCCAATGGCGTATCGAAACGTGGATGAGGCGTCCACACTAAAAAGGATGAAAATTGGTGAAATTGAGCTTCATTGCAATTGCTCTAATAAAAATGCGTGCTTACTATTACTAAAGTTAAATATTACGGCATGTAGCCATCATTTAACGCGCGATTTATATTTAATATTTGCTTATGTTTCTTAAGCGCGTCTGGCTACGTTGGACAGACGCTTCGGAAACGCAGACGCGAAGCGCTGCCCGGTAGGACTGCGTGTGGTTTGACTGGGCGCACGCGTCTGGCTTCGCGCGCGCCAAGCCGAGACGCGCGTCTAGACGCACTGAAAAACGCGCCATGTGGGCTAGCCTTTAGCCTTCGGCGCATGCGCAGTGGCGATGACGCCATTGTTTGCGTACGCAAAACTATTTTAAACTGCTTATATCGCTCGTATAGATTTACGTCATATTTATTGCACATTGGCATTGCCAGCATGTCCGTTTCAAGTGTGCAACTACGTTAAAATATATTTGCTTATTCACACATATTATGCATAGTGTCCCGTGTCATGAGTATTGCATCTTGTCATCATTAGTTATTCTACCTTTCTCATCAGTCTTCGCCCCTGCTTAAATATGCCAAAGTGCTTATGTGCCATGATTTATGCCTGACGAGTTTTCTGGGTCAAACTTATGCGGAGCACAAGTTCGTCTGCTACCTTTGTAGGGGTTGTAGTGTCGTCAGAACGTCGAGCTCTGATTGGCTGTGGCTGAAGCATAGTAGGCAGACCTCAAGGCAGCCTGCCTCGAGGTCTACCCACTATCTTTCAATCAGAGCCGACCGGAACTCGGCGTTCTGACGACACTACAACCCCAGCAAAAGGAGCAGACGAACTTGCGCTCTGCATTGTTCAATGTCATGATTACGTAAATACTTTTGTGAGATTTCAAAATAAAAGGCCACCTTAGATTATTTTTTTTTTAATGTTTGTTCTAGCTTAAGTTTGTCTATTTGAATGTTTGCTCTGTGGTTCTTTATGAAGTGTTCCCCATTCATACTTCCTTATTTACTTTCCGGACCTCGAGACAGCGACACATCTCCAATCCGGTCCCTTAGGCAAAAATCTCTGGAAATCCTTGCTCTAAATCCTGCCTGCTCGACTACTTTCCCGAATATCACGAGTTTAACAGAGCGCATGCGGCGAAGGACAAGGTTTGAAGTATGGCTTGACTAAAAGACTTCGTTTGTGAGGAGGCAATAACCGCCTAGTTTTGCTCGTTTATTGTGCCTGAGCTGTGAGCGTTTACGATTTATACCCTACCTTCGCCCATCGGCATTCGTTTGATGCGCTCCGTAAATCGAGATATTTTGCTCAAGCTGCGGTCCGCCGGAAAGAAGACATTCTGACCTGCAGACTAATTCGGCCAGCCAGGAGCAAGAGCTTCATGACAAGTAACAACATCGCAGCGTAAAGCATTATTATCAGGTAAAAAATTAAAAAAAAACGTTAGACCAAAAAAAAAAAGAATGTATTAATCGTAAAATGATCTTGAGCGCAGCCGTGCGCTCATTAAAGCCTCATAATTTTATAGGCTGGTTAAGATTTGAGCTCCATGAAGAGTTGTAACGAAAACATGATAACACGGGCATAGGACCGCCGTAAGGTTGATGTCACTATGGGACACGGATTAACGTGGTTGGTACCAGTGTTGCGGAATGGGCACCCCCATTCCATTCCAATTCCATTCCGGGGAATTAGAGTTTGCGATAATTCAATTCCTTTCAATTTCTAGGAATGGGGACACTGGGCCCATTCCCACTCCTGGAATGGCTGAATCGTTCCATTCCATTCCTCTAATTCCGAAACGTAAAAATTGGCTCTTGACAGCTACATTGTGTTGCCGGTATAAGCACCGTAAAGTTGACATTATCAAACGCATAGACAATTGCAATAAAATTCAAAATTCCTAAAAAAAGCACTGATTTTACTAAGCGGAGCGCTGGTGGCACAAACTGTTTCTTTACATTGTATGCAAACATCGAGAAAGCCCCTTGATATCTCGATGCTTTTTTAAAACGTCGGTCTTTCGACCACTTGGCTCGCAACAAACAGCAAAACTTAAATCCACAATTTTTTTTTTTTGGCAAAATTGTTTTGCGTTTGTCTTTTAGGACATACGCGGCGAGAGTGTTTGTTTGATAAGACCATAAAAATGTCCAGTTCGTGCGTGGCGCAGAAATAAGATATACAACTGTATTCTTCAAATACCTGCACAGCAATACCGCTAGTACGCTGCTGGAGGCGACTCCATGTACAGTGGCAAGAGCACATCCTCTGACAAAGTGCAACCTCTACGGCACAGCACGAAAGACTGTATATACCATGTCACGAAGCTGTCTTTCTACAGGTCTAGTCAGTTCGGTCACGCGACAAGAGCGGTGGCAACAATCTACTTCACCTTACGATGGACCGCAACAGACAGCACGAGAGCCATCGAAACCAATCCAGTGCCTTCTTCTGAGTGTCGCGTGACCCTGGGGCGCAGCAACGCGCCCTGCGTGTAGTCCCCCTCACGGTGCTGGATTGCCTGGGATGGCTCGTAGCGTCCGCAGCGGTCCATCACAAGGTGAAACACAGTAGCCAGAGACTAAGGTGAAAGGAAATGAGCGGGAATCCGGCTAGCTTGCTTATAAACCTAACCCACTTGAATGTAAAACATATAACACAGAAAACAAGCATCGGAACAAAGACCAAGTAAAAGGCGGACCTACACGTAAAAATGCAGTATAAAAAAAATGAAAGCCGTTTACAAATCCCTGTAACGCCGAATTGGAGCGCAGCTCTTGAGAAGGAGTAGGGAAGGGTACTGAGGGGGGTCACGTGATCTCGGGGGAGGGGGTCACGTGACCTCGGAGGGGGGGGGGGGGGTCACGTGACCTCGGGTGGGAGGGTCACGTGACCTGGGAGGGGTCACGTGACCTCGGGGGGTCACGTGACCTGGTAGGGGTCACGTGACCTGGGGGGGGGTCACATGACCTCGGGTGGGGGGTCACGTGACCTCGGGGGGGAGGGGGGTCACATGACCTCGGGGGTCACGTGACCCCCCCCCCCCCGGTTACGCCGACGCCTACGGCGACGACGACGCCGCTCAGGCTGGAAACGGGCCCCTAAGAGCTGCGCTCTAAAAGACAAGCGTCGGATCAAAGCGCAAGAAGAGAAAAGAGAAGTGAATCTCGCTTTGTTTTAATGCCGAAGCAAACCCAGATTTCGCACTTCAAAGGAGTGCGCGCGAATGAACGTGGAAGGCAACAGGCCGCCTGCTAAACAACGCTCCTCGAACTATAAGAAAACAATAACTGATCATCTTTCGGCGGTGCGCGAGTCAACGAGTGTACAGAGCTCTGCGATGTATGAGTCGTCCCCCCGCTTCCAGATCTCAGTCTGTGCGCGCGTGTATTCTCCATGCCTTCGCTTCTTTTGCTTGGTGCTTGGTTTCTTGTTTCGCTCGCTCTAGTGTAACGGCAGTAAAGCCCGTCGCCTGCGCGAAAGCCGCCACCACCAGCCCCACCTCCCTCCCCCTCCCTCCCCCTCTGCTCTTTGCTTTGACACTTCTTTTTTGTATGGCATTTTTTGCGTATAAGTCTGTTAAAGCTCCGCCCGCTCATTTGATTTCTGAGAAACTGGCTCGCTGACTGGCTCAAGTTCACTAACAGTAAACAAAAAAAAAAATAAAAGAACTGGGCCCCATTCCATTCCGGGCAAAAGGCATCGAATTCCATTCCCATTCCATTCCCCTCAACGTTTCCGCCATTCCATTCCCATTCCATTCCGGGGTCGCGAAAATTCGGAATGATTCCGGAATCATTCCAACTCCGGAGTGGCAACTCCGCAACACTGGTTGGTACCACACTGTGGGTTATGTGGCCACGTGACGAGACGTCACGTAACCGTGTAACTTGACCACACAGTGTGGAGTGACCTCGTGATGTCACAATGTTACGTGACCGCATAATCTGAGGCTAGTGTCGAGCGTCCGCACTCCTCAAGCTGCATTCCGCGAAATTAAGACTCTTATTTACATGGAATCAAGATAATTTATAAACCCTCCAGTGGTCAGCGAATGTCGGCTAAACCTTACTTTAACCTCTCGCGTAGCAGCGCTACTAAACAAAGTTTGATAAAACTGATGATGCAATGAAGTATCTCCGACTAAAGAAGGAGTTTCAATCCGCATTTCTCGGAATGACGAGGCGTGCTTTCCCCGCGCGTGCGCTAATGGAGTCGGTTGTATGTCTACGACGTTTTGAAGGTAACTGACATCTCAAGAAGCGCATGGCGTAGACGAGCATCTTGTTATCCCTCCGCAGCCAATAGGATTGCGTCATCTCTCCATGCGCCGAAGAACGAATCACTAAAAAAGGAACGCCAGGATAAAAAGTCACGCCATGTGTTTCTTAAGCTTGCAGTGGCTTGAAAAACTACCAAGAAGCGAGCTTGTACGACTGTGTAATTCGAGCTTTTTTCATTATCTGCAGGTCATCTGGCCGACGCCAAAGTGCTCGCCTACGACACCGCTTACAGATACTTAGAAAAAGCGTTGCAGAGATTTGTGGAGTACAATCATCTAGACCCCATGGCCCTGCCGGACGTCAATCAAACCTTCGAAAAAACGTTTCTATATATGAAGGTCAAAGGAGAAGTGATGCTGACCAACGGCTCCCTGACTGGCCTGTCGACAATCCGCAGGACTGAGTATTTCTACCTTGGAGCAAATCGAAAAGGAATTGAGGTTTACGCTGACTTTGGAGTGGGACCACTCCATTTACGTTACGACGGATATCTGGCCCTAAACCGTATAACCTACGACGTTGAAGTAGTCATTACAATCAAGAATATCCGTGTCGTCCTACAAGTATCCGAGTAAGTATACTCGCTCGTAAACGAAAAGGCTCGCGTTCGGAAGTGGAGAAGCTTTTCAAAAGTGCGGCGCGTCTCTTGGTAGCGTTTCTGTGCCAGAGTGACCCGAGCCCGCCATTGTTTGGACACGTACTCTGAGCATATGTTGGACACGAAGGATGAGTCAGCGTAAACGCGGCTCACTTCATCCAAAACGTGCCGCGTCAGCGGTGAGGATTTCGATGCAATCCCACGTTTTATGCCCGAAAAATGGCGACCGCCAGTGTTGCTCGATGAACATTTGGAAAGGGTGCTACGTGAAAAAAGCATAAGTCGAAGTTTTCACGAAGAGCTTTAATGCAAACTCCGAGAAAGAGACCGTGGCAAATATATTATGGTGTTCGTTGCGTCGAGTGTTTTGACTGGAAATTCGCTAAACAGACTAACAAACATAGCTGAAAGTGTATCTCCAATACTTGGTCAAATTAGCAAGTTTTTTTCTTCATTTCTTTTTTTTTTTTTTTTGCGAAGTTATTGAATTTACAACCTCGGAGCTCACCGTACGTGTTTCTCAAAGTCTCTACTGGCAACAATAAAGAAAGTTACGCCAGTGGCAGGCAAGAGTTCACTCTTTGGAGTGGAGAATTTGTTCCCAACTGATTCCAAGCAATTTCATGGTATCAAATGAATGCTCTGGAAGCTCGCTCCAGTACTCGCGCACAAGTACGAAACAATATGCTTGGCATAGTCTATTTCTAGACTGCGTGCTCGACTTGCAAGTGGGTTTGCCACTGGCGTCCCGGTACCGAAATGTGCGGGTATATTTTAACCTTGGTTTTTGCATCATTTTCATTTGTCGCTTTCACATTACCTTTTCTGAATTTCTCGATACTAAATAGCATACCGGAAAGGGTAAAGGGCGGGGATTTACAAAATATAGGTCTTTGGGGTAGCTCCAAAAATTGCCGGGATACCCCTCCTAAGGGCTGTTCAGAGACTTTGGGAATGAGACCCAAACAATTTCGTTCCATTTCAATTTCACTCGACATCTCTTTGGTTTCACGTGACGTACAGTCGGCACGGAATGAAACGCGAGCAGTGGGTGCATGGTTTTCGCTAGATGCTGCACCACCTGAACCAGATCGGAGCTGCAAGAAGATAGCTCCTCCTTCGATGTGTTACTCTTGCTCAGTGCATCCAGACCTTCGGTGTTGCGTCTCTATGTGACTCAGCGTGGGTCGAAAACCATGCGCTCCTTGTTCGAGTTTCATTCCGTGCCGACAGTACTTTACTTTAATGTGAAACATTCTGGTCAGTGAGGTGCGTTTTATTCATAGTCACAACCGACAGCCCGGGCCGGATTCATGCGACACGCTTTGGGGGAGGGTGGTACTCTACTTATAATTAAATTCGCCCCTGATGACAACTCAAGAAGCACAGGCCGCGGCGAGTTCCAAGCAATTTATTATAGCTTCGCAGCCGATGCGATTGAGGCGTTATCCGACACGATCGCTTAAGAACCAATCGCAAAGCTAGAAGTGTGAACATAAGTCACACCCTGCGTTTTTGCAATAAAATAAATGAAAGATTAAATAGAAAATCATTTATAGACAGAGCATTACCAATATGAGGTGACACAGTGTTGTCTTAGCTGCGCGAAAAAAAGTATTGGGGGCACATTCGTTGACAGAAACAAAACAAAAGTGGACAAAATCGCCCTGAAGACAGCCAAGCTCGGCATTTTTGGGACGACGTGTCGGTACCTTGAATGCAAGCGGTGTTAGGAAAACTGTCAGTATCCAGTCAATCCGGTCAACGCCACGTAAAATATTTAAAGCCCGTGCGCTAGCATTTTTACGTCATGCCCAACGCAGACAGAGATCGGCCCCGCCGAACGCGTGAGACGCTTCGTTCCTCTTCTTAGTCCCTGCTTATTCGGCGCTTTTCGTTCAACCAATTGCCGAGTAAGCGCCCTCCTACATGATGACGATGAGCGGATGTAGGGGAGGCTGTTTACAGGGTTTGGTAATTCAAAGTGATGTCGGTCCAGCTCATGCATGATTTTCACTGATATCACATCAGCTGAATATGCGGTGGCCTTGCTTCTAAACGCATCCCTTGTGCAGCAAACATTTCGCATTTCCGAACTATTTTTCTCACCAAAGAGCAAGTAGGAATTACGGTGAGTACAGTCCATATATTAATTAACTCGCACTTTGCTCGACATCAAACGTGTTAAGCCAATGTAACCGGGTAATTGATCGCCTGAACTGCGCCAGAATTAAAGGTATTGCCCCATCAACACCTGGCCGCACTCCTCGACGTAGGGGATATTTTTGCATTTACTTGATGCTGCTTAAGCACCGTTTAGACAGCATAACTGCCTTTCATTGTTCCTGAACAAATCCAGGAGAACAGTGATGGTTTACGCAACTTAGCATCATGTGCACCGCAATATAATGTTTCAAGGCACGCAAAAAAGTTACTAAGCACGCTCAATTTCAAAGAAAGATTAGAAAGAGCATGAGGTCAGTCGTGGTTGGTCGATAACTACGACGAGAAACTCAAAACGCTCGGAAGGAGTTCAACCAACGCTCTTTCTGCGGTATCCATTTGTTTTCGTGGCACGCCCACACGTCTAAGTAGAACGTTGTAAAATATGAAGAGGAACCAAAGCGTGATAATGGTGATTAACAAGGCACATCGGTAAAGTTATGATGTACCGAAATCGAGACGAGCTTATTTCAAGTTTTGACTCCAGTTTGTACACAGATCTTCTGTGTCAAAATCTGTAACCATATAAAGAGAAATTGAGGGACAGGAGAAGACGAGGGCACGTGGGGACGCCAGGGAGCTGAGCTCCGATTAGAAGGTTGGAAGGATAGTACGCAAAAGCCAAAAGCCTTTGTCTCTGCTGACTGTTCGAAAGCGTTCGAACTCCAAATGTCGGCGTCTGGCATGAACACAAGCCACTGCGCGAGAAGCAGGCGACGCTTTCGTACGCTCTGATTGAAAGGAAACAATAGCTGGAAACAAAGGCAGCTAGCCTCCGCGTCTACTTACTAATCCTTCCAATCAGCTCTTGACGCTTTGATGTCCACCGCAAGCACTCACCTTCTCCTCTCCTTCAGTTTCTCTCCGTATGTGGAGCGCAAGTTCGTCTGCTTCTCGGCCAGGGGTTGCGGTGACGTCAGAACGCCGAGTTCTGATTGGCTCTGATTGGAAGGATAGTGGGTGGACTTCAATGCTAGCATCCTTGAGGTCTATACCCACTATCCTTCCGGTCAGAGCCAATCAGAACTCCGCGTTCTGACGTCCCCGCCAACCGTGCGCAAGAAGCATACGAACTTGTACTCCGCATAGCCCTGATCATGTGATAATGCAGTAGCCAAGTGATTGCGGCACCCGACTGCTGCAATCCCGACCCCTACGCTAATAAATCACGATCGTAACGTTCGTTTTCAGGGATCTTCAGCAGGGTCTTGTGGTGAAGGACTTTCGAATAAAAACTATGGAAGGGTTGACCGTTGAGCTCCACAATCTGGGCATCGTCAGCTACGCGTTCAACATGATCGCAAAGGGAGCCACGTATATCTTTGGGAATTTGATACGAGACAGAGTGGACAGTGCATTAAGAGCAGAGATCCGCAAACAAGTCCAAGAACTGAACAACTTTGTACTTCGAAACGGAACCCTCCCGGAAATGAACAATAAAACACTCGACGAGTAGTGTGCTCACTGCCCGTGTCATTTAGTGTAAGCTCAGTATAGACGCTTTGCAGCAGCTGTGCTTGGGCGCCGCCATAACCGACCTTCAGTTTTTGTTTCCTCTTATTCCGTTTACTTCCCTTCGTCATTAACATAGCAGGCCAGGTCATTGTCATTTTAGATTCTACTGTGTCCTTCGCTCCAGCGTTGGTCATTCTGGAGACTCGTCAACGCCCGTCTTTGGCGGCTCGGTACCCCGGTGGAACAAGAGAAGGTCAGCAATGGCGGATGTAATCTGGCGCGTGTGTAAAGCGTCTATAGTCCCTGAGAGGATCAGAACGGCAGGAAAGTCTCTCGGATGTTCCCCCTTCAGTGCCAGATCCCCACCTTCGACGACGTTTCGGCACCTCGTGAGCCTCGAGCCTGTACGCGCAGTCGACGGAAGGCAGCGGACGCGTGCTGGGGGCCAGACATCGGAAAGAGATGCCCTGCCGTTCTCATCCTGTCAGTGACAATTGCAGTAATAATAAACATTCTATTTGGTGCACCGTCCCCTGCGTCGATTGATCGTCGGCTTTGTGGCGCGCTGATGAGGATCATTCTAATGGCGCATCAAAACTGACGTCAAGGAGCCTTTAGTAAGTTCATCCGTGGTCACACCGAAGGTAAATACAATTTGTTTCACTCTGTAATTGGGTGTTCGGTGTGTTTAGCCCCCCTCCCCCCTCCCCTCCCCTCCCCTCCCCTCCCCCCCCCCCCCCCCCCCGAAAAAAAAAAAAAAACGTTTCATGATTAAATAGAATACCTTCAACTTCAGTGTCAACGAAGAAATTTCATTGCACTTATGCGTTCTCAGGTTCCAAAGGTTTGAAGATGAAAACAGAACGCGTGGTCACCTCCATAAATACCGATTCAAAATGCAGAGAACGGTAAAATCGAACGAGCTCGCGAAGAAACTAACTCGTGTACATTATTGGCAACGACTAGTACCTTTGCTGCGTTTTTCCATGAGCTACAAATTTAGTAGTAACCGACAGAACCGCTGAACGTTACAAGGGCAAGGCACGTAAAACGCGTAAAAATTAACAGAATTTCCGCCAATAGACGGATCTCGCTGACCGTTCCACGCATGCGTGACGCCCGCCACAGCTGTAGTTCATAGGAGGCAGGCGCCACCTCACGAGACAGCTCGTGCCGCCTCGTGCTCTGCTCATGCAGATCCTGTGCGCGGTCGTCGCGCGTGCAAAAGGACTGCACAGTTCCCACGACGCATGGCGGCAGCGTTGGCGTAATGAAACTTGCTGCGAGATCGACGCTTTCAGGCAGCTGTGTACGGTCGCCGTCATAACCGACCTTCAGGTTTCGTTTTCTCTTATTCCGTTCGCTTCACTTCATCCTTGCCTCAGCAGGACAGGTTATTGCCACTTGGCACTTGTAAGTGCTATTGTGTTCTTCTCCCTAGCATAGGCCTTTGTGGAGACTCGTCAACGCCCGCATCAGTGGCTCGGCATCTCGGTAAGACAAGAGAAGGTCGGCAACGCATTGTTTACAAAAAAGCGCGCGTTTGCCCGCACCTGGTGTGGGCACTTCGCGTGCGCAGAAACCAGATTTGCGTGAGAGAAAGCGTACGCGCAAGCGCAGTACCGACTGCAGCGCCACCGCAACGGCGTGACGTCAGAGAGTTGAGTTGGTGTATAGGCATAGCCTCCTCTATAGGGAGTTTTCACTGACGTAATTTTGTCCCCCATTTTGTTGTGAGCTGTTTGGCGTGTGCCGAAGGCGAGCATTCCAAGGGTTAACAAGGCCCCTTAAATGCGTAGAGCACAGAAGCTTATAAGTCTTACCACGCTGACATCTCCTCAACAGGTTGCGATGTAATCCTTTATGTTAGTAAATTCGTTTGAAAAATAAAAAGTAACAACAAAATGGCGGATTGAACGTCATGTGAAAACAACCTACACTCACAAAGCCTGGCAGTTCGACGACGAAGCCATAGAGTGCCCGGTCGCAGATTCGGAGCGCGAGGATCTGGTAGCACAGAACATTTCTCGGGGAGTCTGGTATTCAGCGCACAGGTTTTGCACTGGCGAGGACACGAAGCATGGTTTTGAAACCCGACGAGGAAAGAAGCGGCAGCCTGAGAAACGCGAGAAGCACGAGCGGACATTCCATCGCTCGGGACCAACGCCGCCTGTAGCGTTGCTCGGGACAAGTGTGTTTCGGCGTCTCGCCGCAGCGGGGCGCCCGTTAGATGACTCTTGTCTGGCGCTCTACCGTTTCACTTTCGGCGGCCGCGTCTCGTGGCGATCTGCCAGGTTATGGTGTACTAGAAGGGGAGGTGTGCCAAACGCCCCGTCGCTCCGTTGGGAGAGAGGAGACCTTCTGTAGGATTCCGCCGCTCCGGCACTGCAACATAGATGATAGAATACAGCGCGTCGCTATCTATCCCGCCTTGGCTAGCAGCGCCACGATAGAATAGATAGAATACAGCGGCGCGCTGTATTCCATCTATTTATAGAAGAAGCCAACCATTCTATTCCATTCTATCTATTTAAGGAGAAGCCAAATAAAGATTATTATTATCATTATTATATTATCTAGCCCACTTTTTCCCCCGCTTTGCTATAGCAGTGCCACGAAGCGACAGCGTCCTGCGGAGGCCCCCGAAAACGAGCGGCGCTTGGGGCACCCATCCTTCTAGTACACCATAGCCAGGCTTTGTCAGTATAGAGAAGGCTATGGTATATAGGACAAGGCCTGCACCCTCCCCCTTCCCAAACGTTATTTATTTATTTATTTATTTCATAATACCTTGAAGGCCCCGTTACAGGGCATTACACAAGGGATGGGTCACTAATAGTTTCAATGTAAAAACAGTAATACAAGCTCGTGAGCAGGAACACAATGAATGACAAACTGAACATTTTAATATAAAACAGAGTGATGCAAACCGGTGAGCAGCAATAAAAATACAAATAAACACAAAAAATAATAAAAAAAGTAGATGAAGGGCACGATATTAACATGTTAAGACTCAGCATTATTTGCACAGGGATCTAAATGTTCACCTAGTAGCTTTTTAAATACATCCACATTGTTAGTTGTAACTATGTTATCAGGTAAAGCATTCCATTCTAATATTGTCAAAGGAAGAAAAGAATTGGCGTAGGAGGTGGTGGAGACAAATATAGGCTCTATTTTACAGCTGTTGTCTAGTCTTGGGAAAAACGAAATGGGACGTGGGAGTAAAATTTTTCTAAGCGTAGGGTTGTGGTGGTAGATCTTGAAAAACTGCGTCAAACGAGATATCTTCCTTCTTAAAGCGAGCTCAGGAAGATTCGCTCGCTCTCGCAAACCAGAAACACTAGTGTAAAAAGAATAATCAGAATAAATAAATCTCAAACCTCTGTTTTGCACACTTTCAAGTTCACGTTTGAGGTAGTTCTGCCACGGGGACCATACGGATGCAGCGTACTCTAGCTTGGGGCGGACTAAATTTAGGTATGCGATCTGTTTCACTTTAGGGGGGGCGAGTCTTAAGTTCCTTCGTAGAAAACCCAGTGTGCTATTTGCCTTAGCGATTATCTGATTAATATGAGTGGTCCATGTTAAATCGCTTGTTATATGAAGACCAAGATATTTGTAGGATGAAGCACTACTGAGTACAGTGTCGTTAATATTGTAGGTGTAAGAAGATAGTGACAAAATACGAGAAAAGGTTAGCACTTTACATTTATCTAAGTTCAACGACATCTGCCACGTGTCACACCAATGAGCAATGGATGATAAGTCGGTTTGCAGGGATGAATGATCGTCAGTATTCGTGATTGTGCGATAAATTACGCAGTCGTCTGCAAAAAGGCGGATGGTGGAAGAGACACAGAGAGGGAGATCATTAATGTAGATTAGAAAAAGAAGTGGTCCGAGTACGCTTCCTTGAGGGACGCCTGATGTTACGTTAGTTCGAGATGACTCGGAGTTATTTGCGACGGTGTATTGAGAGCGACCAGAAAGAAATTGTGATATCCAGGCGATGATAAGGGGATCAATTTTAAAATACTGAAGTTTGGTCAAAAGACGATTATGAGGTACTCTATCGAAGGCTTTTGCAAAGTCAAGAAAGATGGCATCGACTTGTTTTTTATGGTTAAGGTTAGAGTGAATGTTATGTACGAATTCTAGGAGTTGCGTTTCACATGATAGTCCTTTCCTAAATCCATGTTGATTAACGTTGAGAAGGTTATTGGACTCAAGATATTTTATGACGTTTGAAAATATGATGTGTTCAATAATTTTGGATGGGATACTAATGAGCGATATGGGGCGATAATTAAGAGGTGAATTTCGGTCTCCGGACTTGTGAATAGGGATGACACGGGAGATTTTCCAGTCAAGGGGAATGTAACCAGAAGCAAGGGATTCACGGAAAATGTCAGACAGGAAGAGAGATGATATGTGTTTAGTGTTAAATAGTATCTTGGAATTGATGAGGTCATCCCCTGTACTTGAGGTAAGTTTCTGATTTTCGATAGTTTTTAGGACACCGAACGGGTTAATAGTAATCGCTTCCATTTGTGGATGATTAGGAATATGAAGCTTCGGAACAGTGTTAAGGTTTTCGTTGGTAAATACAGAACAAAAATATTTATTTAAGCAATCAGCACACTGCTTGTCAGTTAAAGCCAGTCCTTCGCTGTCAGTGAATGCGAGAGGGGGGAGAGGTTTAGGATTGATCATATTCCAGAACTGTTTAGGATTATCAGACAATACTTTTAATAGGTCTTTTTCATAAAATTTCGATTTTGCTTTTGTAATTTCTTGCCTGTATAATTTTTCACATTCTTCATATTTATTCTGTGCTTCCTTATTGGCGGGTGATAGCTTAGCTCTTTTAAATAACCTCTTCTTTTTGTTGCCTATTCTCCTAATTGCTTTAGTAAACCATGGATTTTGTCCGTCGGTTTTAATATTAACCAGGGGTACGTATTTCCGGGCTAAAAAGGATAACTTATTTTTAAATTG